CCCTTGCGAAGGTCTCCATGGCTTCTAGGAACGACGGTACTGACTCCTCGCCCTCCAGCGCCACTTCAGTATCGTCCGCGAACTGGCAGGCTGTGACGCGGTCCTGGTCATTCGGCCGTAGTTTGACCCCCACATCTCGGCTCCGGAGCCAGCAGAGCAGGGCCTGGGCGATGAAGAGGTACAGCAGAGGCGCGAGGGGGCACCCCTGTCGCACGCCTGCCTCCATCCCAACCAGCCTTGATTTAAAGCCATTGACCATGGCTCGTGCCTGCGTGTTGCTGAGCAGTAGCCGAACCCAGCTGCACAGCTGCGGGCCCGCCCCCATCGCCTCCATCGCAGCTAGCAAGAAGTCGCGGTCCACCGTGTCATATGCCTTCGCGAAGTCCAGGAACGCCAGGAGACCCCGGCGGTTCTGCTTGCGGAGGAGGTGGGATAGGTGGCGCAGGAACATCACACTGGCCCCGATGAGCCGTTTGGGGAGGAAGGCCGACTGCTCGGGGGTGATGATGCGCCCCAGGGCCGGCCCCAGGCGGTTGGCCAGTACCTTGGCGAGCAGGCGGTAGTCGGCGCATAGTAGCGTGATAGGGCGGTAGTTACCGGGTTGCTTGGGGTCGCCCTTCTTGTAGAGCACCGTGATAATGCCCTCCAGGAACCCGGTCGGCACCTGCCCCGTTGCGCCTATGTTGTTGTTGTTGTTGTTGTTGTTGTTGTTGTTGTTGTTGTTGTTGTTGATGTTGTTGTTATAATTATAATATAGTTATAAATAATAAGATTATTCATTATTCATTTTGTTATAGTTATAAATAATAAGATTATAAATAATAAGATTTATCATTATTATTGTTCCTATGCAAAATCTTCCGCTTCTGCGTGTTGTCAGTCAACCACAACGCGGTTACCTTCCGTACTGTACATCTTTTTAAAGAAAAGATTACTCGCGGGCGCGCATTTACAAAAAACCCTGAGAGGCAAAGAAGCCCTGAGGGGATCATGTCTTACTAAAGCTGTTTTTATTTTGCTGGAAAAACGATACTCTCGCACACCGTCTCGCACAGGTACACACAATTCCACTTCGTACGGCAGGCAAACATCAGGTCTGTCGTACTGGTTTCGTCTCGGAAGGCTTTTAACCTAATACCGCTTTGTTCGCCCAAACTATTTTACACTTGTTCGTCCAAGGTAACCACCAACTGTTTATAACAATCGACAACGTACAACCGCTCAATAAACAACCACCATCCACTATAAACAATGCCAAATGGCCCCCCAGATGTTAGAGCACACAACAACCCTGACATACCCTCCCAAGGGATCTCAAATTCCGCTATAGCGCTGGGGACTAAGCGACAGAACTGGATCGCACTTACACAAAGTATGCCGGGGAGTCCTCGGCCCCCCCCCCCCTCACCTCATCTCCCCGCCCTCCCCTCTCCGGAATTGAGGCCCCCCACGCCCCCGGCTACCCCCTCCGTACATTTACCCTCGTCACCAATATCATGAGTAACTTTTAATAAATGCTGTAATGTTAAGACACGGCTGCAAATGAACATGCAAAAACATTACCTTCGTAAGCAAGGTCATATAATATTTCATCGTTAGAACTCAGCCCGTGAAACAAACAAGAAATAAAGTGAGGAGGAGGAGGAGGAAGAGGAATGCCACACAGACACACAAAAAAAAGAAACATCCCACTCGCTTTCCAAGTACATGCTTCGAGCAGATCATAACAAACCCCGGTGCGCGTCATGGCCATCATGCACAACAACCCATTGTCACTGCCATCAAACCCCTCAGCACTCGCAGACGATTTATGATGGCGCTGGTGGCGCTGGTGATGGCGGTGGCGGCGGCGGCGATGATGTCGTCAGGTCATCAACAAGGGCTTGTCGGGCCCACAACTCGGCGTATCGACCCCCGTGCGCGAGCAGCTCCGCATGGCCCCCTGTGCGGGTGAGGGAGGGAGGGGGTTCCAGGTGGGGAGGGGGAGGGAAGGGGTCAAGGTGGTGGTGGTGGTGGGGGACGGAGGCTGGATCAGGCTGCCATGCAAACAGTCAACCGCCGACGTCCAAAGCAAAAGATGAGGAGGGCCGAGGGCTTGCTGGCACATGTCTGTCTGCCTGTCTGTCTGTCTGTCTATGTATGCGCATGACAGCAAATGGTAAAGTTCGCGACGGCCCTGCTCGACGGCGATGTGGCGGTGGGGGGCTGTCCAACTGCTCGCCCAGCACGCCAGGTCCTACACGACCCCCCCCGCCCCCCGGCCCCCCCCCGGGGTGCTCGCCTGACTCCACGACCCGGCCCTCCTCCAGCACCACTATCTGGTCGCACTGCGCGGCGGTGGATAGTCGGTGAGCCACGAAGATGGCGGTACGACCCTGCGGGGTGAGGGGTAACGCGGGGCGAGGGAGAGGGGAGGGGTAACGCGGGGCGAGGGAGAGGGGGGAGGTAAAGCGGGGTGAGGGGTTGGGGAGGTAAAGCGGGGTGAGGGGTTGGGGAGGTAAAGCGGGGTGAGGGAGAGGGGGGAGGTAAAGCGGGGTGAGGGGTTGGGGAGGTAAAGCGGGGTGAGGGAGAGGGGGGACCACCACCGCCGAGTAGCGGAATGGCGAAGTGAAGTGAAGTGAAGTGCACCTGTGACCTTCAGAACAACGAAATTGGAGAGGGAACATCCTCTTTGTACTATCCAACACCCCTCGCTCCCACCCCTCGCTCCCACCCGCGCCAGCGCCCTCAGCGCCTCCAGTATCTCCCCCTCCGTCTTGCTGTCCAGGGCACTCGTGGCTTCATCGAACAGTAGCACCTGAGGCGACTTGAGAAAGGCCCTGGAGGGGACGGGAGGGGAGGGGAACGGGAACGGGAACGGGAACGGGGCGGGGCGGGGCGTGATGGTGTGTGTGGGGGGGTATATGGACGTCAAAAAACAAGGAGTACGTAGTCAATTGCGGCTGAGATGTCCCAAGTACCACACCACACGTTGGTGAGGGGGAGGGGGGAAGTTATATGCGAGAAAGTGGGGGGGAGTGGGGAGAGGGGAGAAAGAGGATTAGGGCGGGACATGATAATGATAACAATGGCAATGATGCAAAAAGATGTGAAGAAGAGGAAGCTGCCGACTTCCCCGCCACCCCCCGGGTTCTTCAGAAACTAAACGGACTGTTATACATACATACAAAGGAGCGACCTTGTCTTTCTTACAGAGCGGATACCTGATGGAGAGATAAAACTGCACAATTCCACATATGCATCAGGTTTAATACTCTACCTGGAAAGCATCTCCCAACCGCTGCTGTGACGAGCAATCCTTCCCTTTCCCCCTCCCTTTCCCAGCCGCTCCACTTGCCATATCTTGCGCTAGTTCTCTTACATCTTTCCCCACACATACAAAAAAGGGAAGGGCTGCGCACGCACGCGCGCAACACTTCCCGTTTCCCCCGCCCACCCTCCCTCCCCGCCCCACGGGGCTCCCCCGCCAACCCCACGCACCTGGCAATGGCCACGCGCTGCTTCTCGCCGCCGCTCAGTTTCAGCCCCCGCTCCCCGACCACGGTGCCGTACCCGTCAGGCATAGCCTCTATGGCGCTGTGCACACGAGCGAGCTGGGCAGCGGCTTCCACCTCGGCCTAGGGGCATTTTAGGGGGGAAGGCGGGATGGGAGGATTCATCAGATGCAAAAGGCAAACTTGGAGAAATGTCTGGAGTTTGGGGGAAAGGAATTCCTGCTGCTGCGACTGCTACTGCTGCGACTGCTACTGCTGCTACTGCTGGCTGCGACTGCTACTGCTGCGACTGCTACTGCGACTGCTGCTACTGCTGGCTGCGACTGCTACTGCTACTGCTGGCTGCGACTGCTACTGCTGCGACTGCTACTGCTACTGCTGCTGGCTGCAACTGCTACTGCTGCGACTGCTACTGCTAGTGCTGCGACTGCTACTGCTGCGACTGCTACTGCTAGTGCTGCGACTGCTACTGCTAGTGCTGCGACTGCTACTGCTGCGACTGCTACTGCTAGTGCTGCGACTGCTACTGCTAGTGCTGCGACTGCTACTGCTAGTGCTGTGGGTGAAGAACGAGATGTTTCGAGCAGTAGCATTGGCCGGCCTTGGTCAGGGAAGGGAAAAGAGGGGACGGAAGGAAGGGGGCGTTGTCGAACTACGGACACACGCACACCTTCGTGGCGCATGGCTTGCCGTACGCAATGTTGTAGTAGATGGTGTCGTTGAACAAGACCATGTCTTGCGGCACAGTGGCGATGGCGGCTCGGAGGCTGTCAAGCGTGACGTGGCGCACGTCGTGACCGCCTACCCGTACGACACCAGATTGCGCGTCGTAAAACCTGTGTGCCGTAAAACGACAGAGCGCGCTTTAATGATGGACGTGTAAGAGCTGAAATGATAATGACCACCACCACCACCACCAGCAATAACAGTGACTTCTCACGCTCATTCTTGTCAGGTGACAGACAGACAGACAGACAGACAGAAAGGGCGGGCAAACGGCGTTCAAGGGCTTTGGTTCCCTTGCCTCTCGCTCTTCATCCCCAATCCCTCCACCCCTCCAATCCCCAACCCACCACCTCCACTACCCCACCCCAACCCCAACTTCCTCCTCACCGAAACAGCAGCCTCAAAATCGTGGACTTGCCCGAGCCGGACGCCCCCACGATGGCGCAGCTGGTGCCCGCCGGCACGTGCAGAGACACCCCCGACAGGATGAGGTCATCGGGCCGGTAGCCAAACGTCACGTCCTCCAAACTCACATCATAGCCCTCCGGGGCGGGCGGCAGCGGCTGCGCATCCGGGGCGTCCTGATGGTGGGTGCAACGGCAACACACCGGCAAGGAAAGAGGGCAATGGGGGGATAGGATTGGACGCAGTAGGAGTATATAAAGGAGACATACATACATACATACATACATACATACATACATACATACATACATACGGAAACTGCCTGCCTGCTGAGGCCGTCTGTAAAGTCTCGCACCTTGATGGTCGGGTGTTGCTGCAGTAAGCCGAACATGGCGCCCATGTCCTGTGTTGTGTAGTGTACGGCAGTTGTGTACGGCACGGCAGTTGGGGGCGGAGAAGGGGAAAATGGAAACGGAGGGTAGGGTGGATGGTACGTGCATGTTTGTATTGCTCTTGTGGCGTTACAGTTCTTAATTTTGTTGTTGTTGTTGGTGGTGGTGGTGGTGATGGTGGTGGTGGTGGTGATGGTGGTGGTGTTTGAGATTTTTTTAGAATATATTCATCATTGGGAAGAAGGAAGGGTGCAGGCGGTGGCGGCAGCACAAGAAAGAGAGAGGGGGAGAAAGCCAACAGCGGTGCAGCAATAACGAGCAATGCGCAAAGGTTCTGCGTACTGCTCAAGCCGCCAACCGCCAACCGTCACAATCCGTACCTGCAACGACTGGCGCGTCTCCCGGTAAACAGTTCCTAGGAAATTGAGTGGCATGGATAACTGCCAGGGTCCGGGGGGGGGGAGGGGGGCGAAATGATGGGGCGTACTTGGGTAAGGTAGTTTGGGGTAGGAGATAGCAGACGGCGACACACGTGCAGTCATACATACACGTACATACATATACACCTACATATACATATACATACATACACGCGCACACGACTTTCCAAATTCATATAAACACGAACACACACGACGTGAGAGAGAGCAAAGTTTGAAGGACGATGCGCCGCGCGTACGGCATACGACGTACGGATAGAGGAAACTGCAGTACGGCTCTGACAGAATGATCAACTCGAGACTCCTCCTGCGCGCGACATCTATACCCGGGTTGAGGGCACAAACCCTAAACAACCCCGCAACCCACGCCCATACACACACACACTTCCCCCTCCTTTCCCCCTCCCCTCATCTTGCATACGTGTAGGTGTAAACTGTTAAAAACACACAGACACACAGACAAACACACGTGTCTAATTCCCTCTCATCAATAACCCCGACAATAACCTCATCTCCCAATCTACGCCTGACATCCCTTCCACCACCAACCGCCAACGACCCGTAACCAACCAACCAACGACATTAACCAACCTGAAACAGCAGGCCATTCACCATCACCAGATCCCCAACACTGGCCTGACCCGCCAGCACCTGCCGACCCGCCAGCACCATCGCCGCGGTCATACCCGCAGTGAAAATGGCCGACTGACCGAGATTCAGGTACGACAGGCTTTGCTGGGTCTTCACCGCCGCCGACTCGTACGACGCCATGCTTTCGTCGTACCTGCGGCGAATGGAAAAGTGGAAGAGGAGGAGGAGGAGCAGCAGGATTAACAAGGAGTGCTAAATTAGCACTGTATCACGGGGTTGCGGGGAAAAGA